AACTGAATTGACCTGATTTTAGTGCTTTTTATGGATCCATTATAAAACGCATAAAAAGCAGTTTTGTTGTTTTCAAATGAGTTGTTCGAAACTTTCAAGTTAAATACTTTTGGTTGACTAGTACTCGAAAATTTGTAAAATAGTTTTCCTAATAAATTCGTTATATACACTACTGATAATGACACTTTGAAGCTTACATAAGTCACGAACGATTTACGAAATTTTAAGCCCCTATTATTTTTGAAAGACTTATCCAACTATATCCCACACAATGGGAAGATAAAAAAAATAATCTTCGACTTTACATGTAGGGATTTTTTTTCCAGCTATTATTTTACCATTTTCTCGGCGTGATTAAAGTGTAAACCACGCTAAATTACACCTTTCTAATACAAATCGTTTTCGAGCTAAACCGCAGACCGACCGACGGACAGAGAGACAGACATATCAAAACTATATAGGGGTCTAGCTTTGTTTGACGAAAATCGGAAAAAATAAAGTCTACAAACATTACAAAAATGAAAATCCCATTTTAAAAGTATAACGATTGTACCGATTTTAATTAATTAAAACATTATTTAATCCTGCGTAAAGACCTCAAATCATTTAATAATGGTTTTGGAAAGGGATGACATGGAATATGATTACAATGACAAACTGAATGGTTTCTATGGTAACGTTTTAATGCACTATACGAACTTCCACTCCAATTTTCATCCCTTTATGTACTTTTTTTTTCGAGATACGATATAAAATATACAGTATACTGCTGCGGACTTTTTTTTAGAACTTTTATGGGGAATCTGTTATAACTTTAATGGTATGCTGCATACTCCTCCAGCGTGATGTTATATAGCCTAGCCTATAGCCTTTCTCGATAAATGGACTATTCAACACAAAAATTATTAATTCAATACGTTCCAGTTGTTCCTGAGATTATAGAGTTCAATTAAACAAACAAACCCTTTATTTATTTATTTATTATTATTGGAAAACCAACAGCTAAACCAACATGATAGATTTCTGCTAAAAAACATTAAGCCAATTATAGGTTTCCACAGAAATAGCTTAGATCTAACCAGTAAATTCGCACACAAGCTACACAATCAAATAAGTAATCGTACCTGCGCCATAAGTTAACGAGACAGTAAGTATTCTATTAGTTTCCGCTTAAATGAATTAATGTTGCAATCGAAGATGTCTACATCATACCCACACTCATCAAGCACTATATTTAAGCTTACGCTGGCCCTAAGAATAAAGCTATTTTGCCTATGATTTGTAGATGACGAGGGGATCGCTATAGGTCGGTAATATCTCTGCGATCTTGTCGGGACTGAAAATTTGATGATACGCAACAATTGTATGTAGTAATTTGACTATGTAGTCGTTGCATATTGAGAATGTGATTAGATTATGCTTGGTGTATTTTTGTGTGACAAGAAATGCATTAATAGTTACTGAGTGATCTAAACTTTAGTTCTTTGTCATACTTACTTAAATATCTGTGGAAATACCACTTAAACTCTTATACATTTTCATATAAGATCCCTGTCTATAAACAGATTAAAAACAAAAAGATTTTTATATGGCATTCACCGTCGTTACCAGTCACGGCACGCTCGCTTCGCTCGCTCAGCTCGTTTTTTTTTGTTTTGGTTACAGTTAATTTGTTTATAACATTAATATATCAATTGTTCTGTAAATGATAATACTACTTTATATATTATATATATTTATTTCTCCAATAGGTAGTCCAATAGGCAGTAATACACAGTAATGAAAGTTAAATGAAATTGTAACAGTTTTTATTAATTTTTCATAAAAAACGAACCATATTATTAGATATGCCTATACTTTCTTATCTCGTCTACATTTCAAATTAAATTGAGTTAAATGCTTTAAATTTCGAACAACACAATGAAAATTACAAGTAAAACTGTACTATAATTATATCTTAAATTCTATTGTCACGATGTTTAGTAACATAATTTTGTTATATTATATTTTAGCAATATTCCTTGGCGCTCAAATGCTATAAATATAATTTCAGTTAATATTATTAATTAGTTGAGTAATCTTAAGGTTGAAAGTCCTATAGCTTAAAATGTTTAGTGCCGCCAAATATGTGCTACATTAAAAATGCCGGCATACAGACCAATGTAATCATGTCTTTCTTGTCAAAATCATTGTAGAAGCGTAGGAATTTGCATTTTATAAATTACGCATTTATAATTAAGTACTCTACATACTTGGCAATTATTATAATCATATCTGACTAACTTATCTCAAATGCGATAATTGGTTAATAAAAGAAAAACAAAACAAGTTAGTGTGTAAAATATTTACGAGTACGTTTCATTTAAAATGTAAAATGTTGATGGCATCGACGGAGTCTAACAGGACTTTAAAGGCTTTTAAACACTCACGTTTAATTAATTTGGCGTATTTGGCATAAACGTGTTATTTATTGAAAAATAAGAAAACACCTTTATACAACATAGCACAACCAGGTTGCATTCCCACAATGATCATCATATCAAATCTATGTTAGTTAATTTCAGAAAATCCAATCCCCAAAATATCAGTGCCACAGAAAATCCACTTCGCAAATTGTCCATATTCTAGACCGCTCACGTCACACAAATCCATTCCCCGGAGTGTCAATATTGGTTGCCTGAAAGTTCTTGCTCTTTAGCGTATAAAACCGCCGTGAGGAGCTTGATTGCGTAGTGGTTAGCGGGCTTGGTCTTCGATACGGTTGTTGAGCAAATTTCCCAAGGGCCCGTTATTGGATGGGTAACCAAAACTGTATTATCTCGAGCTTATCAAAAGACACATTCAGCTTGGTAGCTGAATGGTAGCTGTTCCTGGCTGAATCTGGAGTCGTTAATACCAATCCGTTGCGAGCCCACTTGATGGGGTATAGACCATACTCTCTATTGAATATGATTCAATTCCATCCATATGGAAGACCTGAGCCCCAGCAGTGGGAATTTAACCTTACGCTGGCTCCATTAATCACAAGGTAAATTAAGGTTGGATCGTTGAGATCGCCATTTTAAAATTTTCATTTTCATGAAACAGTATTGCAAAGAAAATTTTAATAAACTTAATAAGTCGAATCTTTACAAGTTGGCTCGTTATTCACCGACTCTAAATTAAAGAGAAACCTTGTGAAAATAAATAATACCGAATAAAACTTTCTACTCGGTAGCGACATCTCTAGTGGGAAGTAAAATATTTAAAATGTTTTTGTATTACCCATCACTATAAATCTTTGTTTTTTAATCAATGTTGCCTTCGTATGTTACTATTAGAAAATATTCTCGACTATGAAAGTAAAATATTAAAGGTACGTTCTCCCTCGGAACTGCGGTCCCACAGTTTTTTTATTGCCTTCCATTTTGCGAGTAAATTATTTGTTTAGCCGCTAGCGGTATATTATGAAAGCGATCCAAAATTGATCAGATTACTTTATATAATAGAGATCGGATAGATATCTGTGACAAAAATTAATAGAAAAGGCTGTTAATTTGTGAAATAAAAACGTGTGAAAACTAAACGATTTAGACAAAAAGATTTATAAATATGGATACGGAAATAAATTACTAATAAGTGACCAAGAAAGGACTAGTGCCTACTGTTATTATCGGATATTAAAAATGAGATAATTAATACCATAATAATAAATATTATTAGAGACTAAAGGTTATTTTAATAGAATGGAACTGGCTGAGCTAATATTTCCACAGTTCCACGTTATTGTATAGAATAAGTTTTTTTTGGCAACACACATTACATACACAATATATATATCGTTAACAAATATGACAGAAACATGACAAATATAACAACAAAATATGAAAAAAATACATAATGAAAAAATCTGAGTTACAAATAATTGTATGGTGTGTGTCGCCAAGTTGGTCTCAGCTCAATATAAGCAGTAAGCGCGGTTTACTGCACTAATATTCTGCAGAAGCTAGCAGTGACAACACAGACTATGGAGATTACGACCATAAAAATAATAATTTACAAATAATTTTTTTTTTTGTAGTAAATGAAATTATTGTAGAACTAACATATAAAAACCCTCACAGAAGACGCACACATTAACTAAAAATTTAAAAAATTCGTTATAATTTACTATTAAAGTGTTTTGATGCGACTATCAAAATCTGCGGTTATATACGGTCAGGAAGAATAACCTTTTTTTTTTAATAGCTACATTAGTTTTCTATAGAATTTGCACCTTTGCACTCAGCGTCAGGCACGTAATTTTTTCCCTAACGTGGTTAAGCGAAAAGAAGAGTTATGATTTTGGCCGGTATATATGTATGTATGTAAGAATGTTCATCTATTCCTTTATAACTTTAAAACTACTAATCGTAACTGGAGATATAAGGTATTATTAGAAGCGTCTTTGTTGTCCGCCTGTTAGTCTTTGTATCGTTACATTAAATTAGCAACAACGACCTCTAGACAGCATAAAGTAAGAAACTAAAAAATATATTATTCAATCTAATAATCTTAACAAAACGTCAGAGGGATTTCATACGATTTTCTTTATGTTATTACGTAGTCCACCCCATCTGCATGCACAGTAGCGTCCCCCGAAAATACAAGGAGCATAGGTAATACTCTTACTTGTTATTTTTCTTTACAATATTCTGTTTGTCAGAGTTCGAGATGGAAGCAATGGTTTGGAAGTAAAACAGATGAGTGTTTTTCGCTTTAATAGACGGGGTTATTTTTCTAACGGTACGGGTGGATGATTTGTAAAAGGGAATGTTAGGTTAGTACGTTATGTATAAAGAGGTCACTGTAGATGGAGTTTTTAAATTAGTGTTTTGATGTTAAGAAATCGGAGGCGCAGGATCAAATATAAAGTGTTGTCTTGTTTTAAAGGTATTAAGACAACAGAGAGAAATTTATCATCGAATAAATAATGGTTGCAGTTACGCAACTTCGAAATGTAGAAGGACTTACACTAAACGATGCAAATATATAGGGAAATATTGCCAATACACGAAATTAAGAAGTGTAACTAATTGAACTAATGTAAATTAACGTTATTTTAATGAAATATTTGTGCGTCGTTCTAGACAGTCTTTTGTTGGGTTTGACTTTATTATACTCACTTGTTTATTAATTTTTTTTTTATTAGGCTTTAAAATTCGGATGCAAGCTTAAACGAACAAGTTTACCATAATATGTCAAATTTCCGTAAGAAATTTTAACCTCGTCCATTGGCGTAAACCTTAATACATCAATTTTAAAATCGAGTGGGGAAATTTAACCGTTTTGTATTTGTTTTGTATAACCTGATTTGCTGTTAATGTGTATAACCTCCTTTTATAGGAGAGAAGACCCGGTTTTATCCCCTGACCCCTTTTTGCCATTTGGCGTAAGATGTTATAAAAAACGCATAAGCAAATATTTATCGTGAACGGATTTTAAAATGTTTTATTATTGCAATACTATTAAAAACGTTGACAGCTGGGATCTGTCAATGTCCACTTCTTCGTGAATCTTAAAAAACCTGGTCATAATCTTGAAATGGCCAAAACAGGGTCGTTGACAGCTGGGATCTGTCAATGTCCACTTCCTCGTGAATTTTAAAATAGGCAAACCTATATCATAATCTTAAAATGGCCAAAAACCTAGTCATAATCTTGAAATTACCAAAAACCGGGTCATCTGCCCTACGGGATAATAAAACATTATTTTTCAAAATATTATTTTGCCATTTCCAGGTGTCAACACGCACCGGTATCGTGTCACACTACGTCCGTCTCCAGATAGTGGTTCCGGAGGCATTCATCCTTGGCTCCGGGGAGCACCACGTTGACCTGGGCAGCGTGATACATCTTATATGCATCGTGGAGAAGGTAAACTTTTTTCTTTAGACAAGATTTAGTCCTTATGCATTATCATTGCTGCCGACCTTTTTTTTAATACGACGGGTGTGTTTTTACCGATTTCCAAAGTTCTTTATTTATAACTTAAAGCATTATTATAGTTAAAGTATAGCACGGTGTAGTTAGCAGAAAATCTTGTGTAATAACGAAATCAAAAACTACTTACTTCTGTAACAACTTTAATTAATTAGCATTTCTATTGTATAAAATTAAAAACGACCTATCGATACTAATATCATAAATGCGAAAGTTCAAAATGTCTGTCTTTCACATTTTTACGCCCACAAATTTGACCTAGGGAAAGTGCATCGATTAGGTACCTACCTTCTTTTGGGAAAAAAATAAGAATGAAATGAAATGAAAATATCTTTATTCAAGTAGGCTATAACAAGCACTTTCGAATCGTCCAAAAATTTTTTTTTCCCTACCACTTGTTCAGGACATCTTTTAGCTGACAAGAAGAGCAAGCGAAATAAACTTACCAGCTTTTTATCATAAGTAATGACATTTACATAAATCATGTCATTACCAAAATAATATGTTATTATCACAATAATAAATACAACTTTCAAAGTCTGTAGGACATAGGTTGAACATATAATTAGTCTTTATAGAACAAAGCGAAGGCTATTAATTCCATGCATTGCGATTCTTAAAATAATCATCAACTTTATCCAAAATCTGGTATAGTGACTTTAGGAGAAGAGACAAATTTTTTAAACATATATTTCGTACGGTACATTTTTCAGTTGGCATCCGTGTTCTCCGATGAGAAAACTTCGCATACAACGCTGAAAATTTCGATTTTCTTTCCAATTAAATAAGCATTGTAAAAAGAAACTCGAGACTTAATCTCTCCGAAATGTTCTTTAAACATTTTAAGCTCCGTAAGCCCCCGTTACTTAAGAACAAACGCCGGGTCTGTACTGCTCAAGGAAAAGTAACTTTAATTACAAGTAGTTCCTTAAAATGGCCGAGCGCTGTGGCACACTTCCAAACAACGTTTACAAGTCAAAATCTTTGAAATACAAATTAGAAATCTATTTAATTGTTATGTAATATTTAAGTAATAAAGACCCAGTTTCTTAATTAAGTATTTTAAGTTAAGCACGTCTCATACTGTACTTGAACAGGTTTTTGTTTCTGATTTTAGTTTTTTTAATAATCAGTTGATAGTACATACTTTTATAATAACTAGAAATTTTTGCCTTGTAAAAAACTAAAGTCATTGAAAATATTCAATTAAGGTTTTGAACTTTACTCAATTCAGAATCTGGCCGTTAATCACATTGGTTGACTAATTGACTTTGTTATTTAGAAGCAGAAAATTAGGATATAGGTGTCATCATCCCCACTGCAAGGGCTGTTTATGGATAGTAAAGGAGGACGGGCCATGACCATCTACGCTGGCCCAAAGCGATTTGGTGGGTATTACCGACTGCAAATAAAGCCAGGCCAATGCCTTAACGTGCGATCCATAGCAGGGAGTAGCACGAGATAATATTTTTGGTCACCCATCCTATAACCGGTCATTGCGAAAGATACTTAACAACAACGATCGCGGGCCGCGGCACTTATCAACTACGCCAACGAACTACTATATCGCTGTCATATAAAAAAAAAACAAAACATTTTCCATTTTAGAGTACATATCGTCAACCGTAATATGAATTAATGTAACCGCCAAATGGCTACTTTACAGGAGAGCCAAAAAACAAAATTGAAATTACAAAAACAGTTATAACTTTTTAGGTACTAATCCGATTTAAATACTGTTTTAACTGTTTCTGTAAAATGTTTAGATCTATTAATATAAATAAACCATATGAAGCCTAGTTTTATAGTTTCCAAGATGACATGGTGGTTACATCAATTTTTTCAAAAAAATATCGAGTTACCTTGATTTTTGTAGAAAAAAATATAAACAGCTTTAAAGTAACTCACATTGCATTTCTCCAAATTTAACGTATAGTACTAAAAATATAAAAATCGTTAACGTATATCACTCTATTTTTAGTGTATGGATATACGTTATAGTAGCATGATTCATGAATTTTCAGTCCTATTCTCTTATGTTAAGGTCTAAAATAGAATAATCTTTACATTTACTGCTACTTTGTGAAAAAGGGTTTCAGTATGAAAAAGCCACACTAGAAAAACAGTTTTATTGCTTTCAATTAATAACATCGTAATTATTTTTGAGATCAAAGTTACAAAACAAATCAGTCTCCGAATGGAATAATTATTAAGCACCTATTTGTTTCATTTTCCTTATTCAAATAGTACCTAAGTACTTACAATGGCTATAAAGTCAAAAAAATCTACTGAAAGATCAATCATTTTAGCTACGAATTAACCCCCTTACTTATAAACCTTGTTTAGCTTCAGCTTAACTTAGATATTGTTTAAAGTGATGCTGTGACTTTTATGTCAATATTGCTTTAACAGGACAGCATCACTTTTAAATACTGTTTAAGTTAAATAGGGTTTATTAGTAAGGGGTTCATGAATAACTACTACTTTCATAATAATTAATAAACGATTTTAAAAAAGTTAACAAACTAAACCAATTTCGGAAATCTAAAAAAAAATATCGAAATAGCATTAGATTAGATTAGTAAAAGTTTAGTTTTAGATGTCCATAAACTAAAACTTTAATCTGAAGAAGCATAGTTTAGGCCAAATAAAAACATTATTTTTTTCATAAATTGGAAATAAACTGACGGCAATAGAATTATTCTAAATCTAAATTGAAAAATCGTGTGCAAGTAGACAAAGTTTTAGTAATGATATAAAGAGAAAACTTTTCCAATTAACAAGTATCGAAACATAATTATTCATGACAATAACAACAAAATAAAATAATCCAACATAATTGTTTTCATCAACAAAATAAGTACCTACTTTATCTTTGAAATGATTAATTATTTTTCTCTATTTTACTTCACCACTTTTTTTCTTTTGTATTTGTTTAACGCTTCCCGTTCTCTTTCGTAATGTTATTTTTACTGCCTTTTCTTCCTTTTTCTTCTTTGCAGTCTTTTTCACCTTTAGTGCCTTTTCTTCCTTTTGCTCCTTTTAAAAGTAGCAATTCCAATATCTTTCATTCTAAAATTCAGTTTTTTACACATGACCTTTACATTGTTGATATTGTCATTCATTGAGTAGTTACGTTAAAAATATTTTCTTATTCTGCCCTTACAGTAAATTACAGTTTATCTATTTTTATAAATTGCATCATACGTCACAAAAGTTAATATAAATGAAAAAATCTTCTTAAAATTTTATTAAGGTACTCGACATTTTTTTCAAGATATCGAGATTTTAAATACACCAATCGATAGAGCGGAAAATTTGCAGTCGAACTGTATATATAACTCAATATCGCCATTTTGGCGGTTACATTAATTCATATTACGGTTGACGATATTGTCTGCCAAGAACAGCCCTGCGATTCTGAAAAAATCCAGAACCAAATTCGAATTCACTCATGTGTCCGAATTCGCGTCATTTGGTATAGAAATTCTATAGTTTCCATTTTTTTATATTAAAATACTAAACAAAATTGATTGATCATACGTGTCTCAGATATTCTATTTCTATGTCATTTCGAAACTCACTTCATTATGTCACGAAACATTATTACCAATTCAAGTTTGAGCGGATGCCGCTTTTTGAATTGGATTCGGACACCTGAGTGAATTCGAATTCGGGTTTGAATTTTTACAGAATCGCACGGCTGGACCTAACATACGAGTATATTATTTTAACCACGAAAAAAGGAGCAATATGAAATCTGAAATCACAGAATCACTTGACTATTCTAAAGAAGAAATCACCAAGGAGATTGCAATAAGTGAGCTTACTCAAACAGGGAAATGGTGACATATGTCTCTCATATAGAAAATGTTATGACATCGTCGCATTTTTACGATTCCTGAGATGTAATCCTGAAATTGTATGAGTTATTGTTTGGTCGCAGTACATTGTAATGTAATATTCGGAAATATCGTCATTATAAGAAATTTCCAATCAATGTTTATTTTAAGATTATAAATTAATAAAATATGAAGATTAAACAAAATCAAACACAGTTTCGGTTCAGAATAACTAAAGCCTGCATGTAATGGAAATCTGAAACAATAAGGTGCCATGACACCGAACTATGTTAGAGCAAATTTCTTTCCTATTATAGTACTACTTTGACATGTACTCTTTATCAAAGATCAACCAACGAATGACGAAGAATGATTATTATATGAATTTTTTTTTTTTTTTTTTATTTATTTATTTCTTAACCTGGATACAAGTCCATCAGTTGCATACATATTAAAAATTGAATTACATATTCAAAATAAGAGAACAAAAAATAATGAAAAGGAAAATAATTTCCAACATATTAGAAGCTATTTACAAAGTTTGGAATAACATTATCTGATGACAATTCTTATTATTATTATTATTTTCTTTTTAAAATTATAACAAATAGATATTAGAACATTTAAAAACAACTGATTAAAATCTAATTAAAAGTTTTAAATCTTTTCAATAGTATTTACAAGGTTTTAAATCTTTTCAATGGTATTTTCTATGAATATGTACAGCGACTTAAAAAATTCAGGGTTACTTAATAATTCTTGAACGCGGCGGGGTACACTGTTTAGTTTTAGTCGTTCACAGATGTCACTAACGTCACATGTCAACGTTAACCGTTGAATATTGAAATTTGGACAACTGAAAATGATGTGCTGAAGGTCTGCGTTATCTTGTGTACAGTAGAGACATTGGGCGTTGCTTAGGACGTTGATTCTCGTAAGATGGGTTGGTACAAGGCAATGACCAAGACGCATACGGGATAAGGCTGTGATAAATTTTCTATTCAAGTAGGACTTGGATTTTTCATACCAAGGCTTGATGGGTAAGTTTCTCTGTATTTCAGCATACCACTTGCCTTTAGTCTGTAATGTCAG